CACATTTATCCCCATTCTACTTGAATATAAAGACATGAATTTCAAATTATAATGTCTATAGCCTTTAATAAGCCCTCATGATTGTACTTTTATTTTATACTATTTAGAATCATTTTATTGTCTGAAACAGTCACTAATTGATCTACTGTCGTATTTATAATCATGCCCTCATTGTATTGTATTGTATTGTATTGTATTGTATTGTATTGTATTGTATTGTATTGTATTCACGGTATTGTATTGTATTGTATTGTATTGTATTGTATTGTATTGTATTGCATTGTATTCACGGTATTGTATTGTATTGTATTGTATTGTATTGTATTGCATTGTATTGTATTGTATTTGCATTTGCTCCAATGAATCATTAAAATTTGAGAGTCAAATCAAGATTTAAATATTGATTTTCTATTTTGTTGAAAGGACTGTATCAAGTGAACAAACATTATATATCCTCCATTCTTTATGGAAAAAAATAACCCTTCTTTTGCCGATGAGATCAGTATATAATGTAAGGAGTGGGTAATTTTTCACATAATTCAAGAATTTGAAAATAAATACTTTGATATGCTGATACGAACATAAATCTCCTAAGGACAATCGGTTGATCTAACTTATCATCGATTAGGAATTAGATGTGAATAGGAAAGTGATGTATTCAAAGTTGCCTGGAGTGATTGTTTACGTTAAGGATAATAGAATTTTTACAAAGTATGTTTTCTTAACATTTTGACACATGTGATGATTTGAACATCCAATATTGACCAGAGACTCATAGATAAAATCGAGAAAGGACTGGTCACTAATAACCAGTGAATTTAAAAGTTTGCTGTTGTCTTACTAATAACACATATGCACTTGATACTAATTTCCTAATATAAATATACTTACAAGAAGTCGAGTTTGAAGATTTATGCTCCCACATACTTTTCTATATGATCTATTGATTTCAGAGAATTTCATTAAATCATACTCTGGGGTGGTATATTATTTGCAGGTTTTTCATTAATTGGCTATTAACTGCAATGAGTAAGATGATATTTGAGTGATTATTTTGTTATAGATGAAAATATATTGAAAGCCAACAGATCTTTATTCTGTACCAATGTCGATAACCTTAGAAAAATGCCGAAACAACTGTGTATAGTGTCGAAAATCTTAACACTGCGTTTAAAATACCATTTATATTTCTAATTGATCAAATTTAACGCATATGGTGACACCTTTAAATATAAAAATAACAAGATGTGGTGTGATTGCCAATGAGACAAATGACGTAGAGTTAACAACTACGGGTCACCGTACAACCTTCAACAATGAGCAAAACCAATACCGCACAGTGAGATTTAAAAGGCCGCGAAATTACAAATGTAAAACAATTTCCCCACAGAGGTAGTAATTTTGAACGAGTTTTTAATTGTCGTAATTGAGATATCGTGAAACCGTCTTCTACATGTACGTATACATCAACTGTCAATCAATAACAGATAATAGATTCTCGTTTTTACGTGACTATACGTGACAATACGTGACTTTCAAATATCTGAAGAAATGTGATTCCCTTCTTGATCCCACCAATTCTGAAACTAACAATTGATGTATAACGTGTTTTTCATGTAATATTTGCCACTGCATGGATATTCAGCAAACACCATACATTTAATCGATCGTTTTCTTCTAACAAAAAATATCTGTAAGAATAGAGGGGATGCACAGTGCCTATGGATCTCTCACTTCGTGACAATCACAAACCAATGCGCTGTATATAAAAACGGTATTATTACAAATTATATATATTACATAAGATTTATATATGAACTTTTAATAACAAAGTCGTTTACATTAACATCCAGGTTAATGTAATCTTGTAAACAGTTCTTATATCATTACTCTGACATAGCTTTTTATGTCCTCTGTCAAAATCTTTACAAGTTTATAGCAAATGAAAATGTGTTTGATCTTGTTATGTTTTCGGATTTTTTGTGCAGTGTGTCGCTTTGACAAAAAATCAGATAATGAAGATAAGTTATAGATAGTGCAACTAAAGACCTGCGTACTTCGACCTTTCTGGGTCACCTGATATCTTTTTTTTTACTTGTGGCTTTTACTTGTCTCTTGGTACCTTTTTTATGTTTTCGATGAATTAAAATCAACATACGAAACGTACGCCCGACTCGTATTTCTGGCATAGACTTTGGAGCCTCGCTATGAATGTCAAAGTTTTGCAAAGCTTAATACTGTCTAGCACATAAAAATTTGTCTGAACATCAAACCAAAAGGGGCATCACAAAACAGCCACCAAGGTCAACATGCATTGCCTGAGGAAATTGGAAGATACCTGCATGCTGTTGATAATTTTGCAAACCTATGATTTATGTATTATCTTGTAAACATTCGTGTCGAAGGACATATGAGGAAGCAAAATTAATCAGTCTGCACAACGGTCACAATGGTAATCACCGTAATGCACAGCCAAGAAGAGGGTCTAGATGTGGGTCTTTCAATTCTTTATTCTTTAATTCTTAATACCATTTTAGTGTAATCTTTATTTATTTGTCCATTGATTATTCTCTATTCTTTATATTTTGGGAAACCATTATTCTCTATTCTTTTTTTTTTTCCCATTATTTTTCTATTCTTTATTATGATTTTGTCTGTCCTTTATTCTGCACTTTTTGTCCTCTATTCAGTAAATCCCATATCAATACCCTCATCGAACGTTCATTTTGGTTTTAAGTTTCTTTTTTAATTTTTTTGGCAGCGTTAATTATTATAGGATTAAACGCCTTTTTAAAGGAATTTATCGGTATATAAACTCGACCAATTCACTCACAAACAACTTTTATGATATGTTTGTGAGTGACTTGGTCCAGTTTATACACCAATAAATTCCTTTAAAAAGGCGTTTAATCCTTATAATTCTTTAAAATTGGAGATAAGGAATTTTACAATTTTCCACACTAGTAACCTCTATCACACGCAAGTTGTATATTTGTGTCATTGAATTGACCAGGCGCATGAATATATTTGTTGGTGAACGCAAAAATATGTATTCCATAAAATTTGCTATCTGATAAAAAAAAAACTAGAAAAACATCTTATTATCATTCAAATTAATGTTTTGTGTTTATTATTTAATTTAACGACTTACGCGAAGTGAAAATAAATATTTTCAACGTCGAGCCGGATTGTGTTATTGTCGCCGCCATCTTGTTTACATTAGTTACAAAAAGAAGTTCGGTCAACGTCGTCTATCGAAAAATAAACAACGTCAAGAGCCACTACCGGAAGTCCTCTCGACCAATCATATATGCGTATGCCCTAATATACAAATCATATAAGAATTATTTGCCGATATTCGCACTTTCTTGTTCCAACTTTGGTGTATTATATGGAGTCATTCATAATGAGAGCTGAACTGACAGCGGAGCATTTTCACCTGACAAATAGATATAAGAAAATGTGGTATGAGTACCAATGAGACAACTCTCCATCCAAGTCAAAATTTATAAAAGTAAACCATTATAGGTCAAAGTACGGTCTTCAACACGGAGCCTTGGCTTACACTGAACAGTAAGCTATAAAGGGCCCCAAAAATTACTGGTGTAAAACCATTCGAACGGGAAAACCAACGGTCTAATCTATATAAAAAGCGAGAAACGAGAAACACTTATGAACCACATCAACAAACGACAACTACTGAATATCAGATTCCTGACTTAGGACAGGTGCAAACAAATACAGCGGGTTTAAACGTTTTAATGGTACCAAACCTTCACCTTTTTTCCTGTATAAATGTTGTTCGTGACGAGAACTTGTCGGTCAAGTTGCCATCTAATCTTGACCTCATTTCCGTGCTCTAATGATTTGTAACTATCGTGACACGATAAATTAATTTGTTTGTTATGAGTGTCTGTTCATCTGACATAGGGCATGTGACTTCAATTTCACTTTTCATTGGTCAGGTTAGATATATAGGATGAAATGTTTCCTCAAAAACTATACATAATATAGTTTAATATATTTATATATTTGGTACGTGGATTTATTTCGAAATGTATATTTCTTTGAGAAAAGCGATCCGTACACTATGAAATTGGCCAAATTATGTGGTATTAAGTTTAATTTCAATTTTGCATGATATATTTGCCACTGGGCCTTTAACAAATAACAATAAGTCAATAATTTCTATTTATAGTGTGTTCAATGTTTGACAGTATTTGTAAGATTTCGTTGTCAGTTAATTCTGTAATTTATCGATTTTACCCAACATCTGTGTTCTGCAATGAATATAGATGTAGCGTTTGTCGGTGTTTTGGCGGATAGTTCTGTTAAGGGTGGCGTCTAAAACCTGCAGGTAAGACGGAGAGTTTAATTTGCCAGGATCGGTGCTATATGGACCGTGTTGAACCGGAAAGCAGCAGTGAGCTTTGGCAATGTGTTGGAATCCTCCCTGTGACTTTAAGATGAAGAACAGCAATATACATCACTGTCTTTGTTTTTGTTTACCGAGTACGTGTAGCGATTGTGTGTCATGAATCAATAAACAAAAACCTTCTTTTACATTCAAACTAAATGGTGCATGTGCATTCATAGTGAATTGTGCAATGCTTCAATAAATTTTAATACATGTTTAATATGCTTAAGATTATTTCAAAATATACTTTAATTTATTGTATTAAAATGCTTTTCACGCACAAAGAGTTTTCATGAATTGTAAATGCAGTTTTCACACACAGGCTAACATAAATTTCAAGTTTTAATCACATTCAAAATAACAACAAACATAAACACTCCCAGTCTATAATTCGTCTGTTAGTAATTCTGTTCAAAACAAACTTTTAAATATTTTAGATACTTATAAAACAATGAAATATTTAAATCCTCAAATACCGTGTATGATTTGGTTCAATAATTCTTAAAAACTCGGGTAATACTACGATTAAACAACTTTATAAAAAGGTAGACTGACCCATGATCGACAGACAGTTGTACTAACAATCCATACTTTACATATCAATAATGACTTATAATCTAAATTTAATTAGGTGTAAAGTATAGTCCACGAACTAGTTAGTATGCAGGTGTTCAGCTAACGGTTTTTTTTTTGTCTCATAATTTGGTGAAATTTCCACGTGGTACTTAAAATTCTTTTTTAAACAGGATATAATTCACTGTGTATTTGGGAAATTGTTCATTTTTTAATTCACAACTGTAGAAATACGACATAATTCATTTCAATCATCGCAGAAGGTATAGTGGGTTGTACTTTGGGACGGTATTAATCAACTAGAATTGTTTTTAACTTGACGTAGACTGTTTGATTGACAGCGGAAATTTACACCGGTAATCGATTGGAAATGTAAAAGGTAGAACATTACATTTCAAAAGAGACAAAAATGAGTGGAAGTTGTGATTTTTCTTGTTGATATTTCTCTGTTAATATCGGTATTGATTTCTTGAACGTCAAACACTAACGTTCCATTTTAGTTGAGTTCAAAGAGAGGATACCTGTATTTCGCACCTGTAAACATAATAATTTGGAGATAAAAATGGTTACAAACATTTCCTTTCTGATTTTAGTTGTATTTTCGGTAAGTATTCTCAATTAGTTATTAATGCTGTTTAAGAAAATTAATAATTCATACAATTTTCTTTATTTGAATGTAAGAAGCTGTGTGATTCGTATTATGTTTAGGCTGCTGAGATGAGCGAAATTGATTTGACGGTGGAAATAAAATGATTCTTGATCAATCAATACGTCTTAATTATTATAACGTTTAAAAGAAACAACACTGACAATCACATGCGCATTTGAATTTTTATTGATTATTTTATTTAATTAGTAAAGTGTTCCTTTGGACTCTCCTAATGATTGAAAACTCATACTGTTTACTCGGAAAAATATGTAAGGGATGGACAACTATCTTGGTTTTCTAAGATTTTCTATTTCCGACTGAAGTAATTCAAATATTTACTTCTTTGGTGAGAATTCTATTCAAATTTTTAAAAAATCTTAAACGATTTCTTTTATTTGAATTCCAAACCGGAAGCGAAATAATAAACACTCCTTCAACTTCGTACTTTTATTTGCTCTTTTTAAAGTTTTTGATTCGAGCGTCAGTTGTGAGTCTTTTGAGACGAAACGCGCGTATGGCGTAAAAAAAAATTGATCCTGGTATCACCGATGAGTTTATTTCCAGCATTTTTAAACAGTTCCATGTCCTAGTTTTTGACCAAAATTTTTATAAAGTCCATTTTACTATATTATACCAATTTTAACATTATATTTGTACAGTACATCGTCCTTTTGATAAAATCTAGATAACTACACGTAAGTGTCGAAATGTCACCCCAAGGTGACGGATAACAGACAGTTTTGAAGCCTACATAATATACATATTGTTTTATCATAAGTAGTCATTATTTAAGTCTTTTAAAACACGTCTATATGCATTAATTAAAGTGCATGACATATTATACTTCATGTTGGCATCTGTATAATTTGTCTTTTGTTTGTGGCATTAGATCAATTAAGAAGTACAGAGTCCAAATTTATAAAAAAAATTGCTTGTTCGGTTGAAAAGCACTATTGACCAGACACCTCAAGAATTCAGATGAACAACAATGCTGTTAGTTAGTTTTTTTTCGTTTGAATTTTTTGTTCATTGTTGAAGGCCGTACGGTGACCTATAGTTGTTAACTTCTATGTCATTTGGTCTCTGGTGGAGAGTTGTCTCATTGGCAATTATACCACATCCTCTTATTTTTATGTTCCACGGTTTTGTGAATTGTCATTTTTTGAAATTTGTTCGTAAGAGGTTTTTGTGTCATGCAATAATGCATTACCTTTCAAGAAACATCAGAGGTCTGTCTACCTGAATTATATTTGGACAAACTCTGATGGTGTTAAACTTAGTTTTTTATTTTCTACTTATGGCGGATAATTGTTCCTGACAATCTTTTTACCAACACATACAACTCCCTTCTTTGTAACATACAGTCCTACGTGTATCATAAATTTCGAATCAGCGTTTCACACAAATTCACCTCCTCTTTACTTCAAGACTTGACAGACAGTCCTATCATATAATGCAAGTTTTTAATGTTCGAGAGTGTTTTGACCAGACTGAAAAGAATTATTACGTATAACTGTAGTCAGAAATATAGACTATTTGATACACTCTTGTCCAATGAATTGGCCATAGTATCGAAACAATATTGTAACTTTCTGGTTAACTTGTGAGAACGATTCTTGACATATTGTTTCAATTTTATTATTTCTCTTTATAAATTTTAAACTATAACTTTAGTGTAAACCAGTGAAAAGTAATCAAATTCTTCAGAAGCATGTAGTCAACACAGTACCACGGGTCATCTTAAACGTGCAGTGACACGGGCGGATACAGCCATTTTAAAAAGGGGGGTTCCCAACCCAGAATAAGGGGGGTGGGGGTGGGGGGTCCAATTATATGTCCCCATTCAAATGCATTGATCGTCAAAAAAGGGGGGTTCAACCACCTACCCCCCCCCCCCCCCCCCCCAACAACAGTAATAAAAAGACACCTGTTTGCTTTGGGTTTTGTTACGGGGATTTTCTGTTTAAGATTTTTTACACCATATCCATTATTTTCAATTAAGATACAATTTCCTTCGAAGTTAACGGTGTTAATTTAAAAATAAAAAGATCTTTATAATATATATGAATAAGAGAGTATTCCGACGACACAAAACAAGCAAGACATTCAAAAATCAACATACACTATTCAATAATAGCAAAGTCTCTACGCAATATGTCAAGCATACAAAAATGAATGTTACTTTAACTGACCATCTAAGATCTGCCACCAATAACAACACTACAGGGAGATAACTCTGTATAAATCAGCTGAACGTTTTAATCACGTTCTATTGTTAAGGAAATATTAAACTTCTCAATGATCAAAATAAGTGTTTGTCAAACTGCTATATATCCAGTGAAATTTTTCCGATAAAGTATGTGGTTCAAGTTTTTTGAAATTTTTATATTTTTGTCAAAAGGTCTAAGTAAATATTTTATCAAAATTTTATAAAAATTAAACGAGCCAAATTAATTTTAGTCAAGGTGTTTGGTACCACCTTATAATTGATCAACCAAGTCAAAGAATGAAGCTACGTCTAGACTGAAGGCCTTGATTGCCACTGAGTCCTCGATTTCTTATGGTGTCTTACAGGTGCAGTTCCAGGAAATTAAAAGGGGGCCCTTGCAAGCCATCGTCTGGAGTGATATACTTTTGAAAGGTCTATGTATATATTTAGCTGCATAAGGGGACCCGAGCCCCTGCCCACTAAATCAGCCCCTGTCTAAAACCTATACCATACCACCACAAGATAAATATCATTTCGGTGTACCTAATAAAAGTTTATCGTTACAATACTGAGTGAAATAATCTTGATGTGTTTGTACAACGTTTAGCCCATTAGTCAGTGCTTCCTCCTTTGCATGATTTATGACATATTTCTCAAATTTGCGAATGAAACAATTTGAAAGTATTAAGAAACTAAACTGAAATCAGTTTGTATTGCGCAATGCTTATAAACAAAGTGTAATAGTAAGTCGAGAACCAGCATTTTAGGAAACTAGGCTTCCAAATTCCCTCCGGCAAAGTTGATATTAGAAAGTTTTGACTATTTGTTTTAGGTCCTTTGTGGTTATATTATATAACGTCTCAAGTATTTACACATTCTTGGTTTCTAAATTTTAGATATCGAGTTTTCCTGGTATTAAAAGGTAAATTTAGAAAAGCACTTCGGACGCCCCGAATTAAATTGTATCATTTTTATTTTTACATTTATAAAAAGTGACATTCTAGTCGCATTTTTATCGTTTTAACTTGCTGTAAGTACAAAATGAAACGAACTCTTTTGTGGTCATAAAAATATTCTAGACGTTGTCAACTGAAGTATGTATGGGTGACAGTCGTGATAATTAAGTATATTTATACACGAAGCGACTAAAGAAATCAGCTTAAGTACTAATACAACAGGAAATAAACGTAAAAATAAAGATTTCAGTTTAATAAATGTTCCATTCAGATTACTTTTAGTAATTTTAAGTACTGGTCACGAATTATACTTCCGAATTACAAAAGATCGAATAATTTGTCCTTTGAACACTCTCACAGTCGGGTTAAATATTTCTAAACATTTTATTACAATAACAATGAGAAAATTGTTCTTTAAACAGAAATGATAATATCATGTTGTATACGTAATTGTGGAAATTGGACATTTTAAGTTTGAATTTGTTATTTGAATGCGTGGTTAAGGTGGGAACAAAAACCTGCATTATATGATTATATTATATTACATGATATACGTTTTAGAAATATACATACATTGAAACGAGGTATACACATTTGATTGAAATCTAAGACAGTGTCAATTTCATAATTTTGAAAAAGATGATTCTATTTCATAGTTTATTATATCAAAAAGTGATTAGCATCTTGTTACAAAAGATATATAATATTTTTTGTTGTTTGAAATCTGAGGCGGATTAAGAGGGAGGGACAGCATGGAGATACATATATATATATGGTTATCGAATAGACTTTTTATGATTTTGAGTCTAACTCCTAATATTGCCTTGTTGTTATCCCCCCTTTTAAATCCTAAATCCCCATCTGGAAATGAATTCTTCGGGTTTTTTTTGTTATAAATGAGTCAGAGATTTACATGTAGATATAAAATAAAAGTGCTACCCTCTCTTTTTACAGCATCTACAGATTTCAGTCAAACACGAAAGTTAGTAGATTATACACAAAACCCAAAACTACCCTCAAAAGCATACAAATGAAAATACGGTCAACTTGAACTTTTAGAAGATATTGTCAGGGTATGTTGAATGGAGTCAAAGGTCATAAAATAAAACCATCTAAGTGTTGTAGCGTGGGTGGTGTGGTTTAAATATCGTACGATGAAACATGATCGCTTATGGGTCATTGAAAGGACTTGCATGCCATTGGCAACCGCATAAAACAACATAAAACCACTCGCGGGGGTTCTTTGTAATTTCCTGTATCGTGTATTTTTCATTCTAATTATCCCCGAGTTACATTGTAGTTCCATTTGTAGTCATCAATTTAACCCGCTTAGTGGTAAATATGTTCTGAGGGGGTAAAATCTAAACAGAATGTATCAATTTGAAGTCAGCATACAGGATATTTGAGAAAGAACATTTGAAGCGCCTGTCGTTGTTAAAAGTTAACACTCTCACTACTAGCTTAATTGAATCAAAATTTTGTAAAGGATCTACGTGTTTGTTCCAATGCTACGTTTGTTTTAAACAAGTCCTTTCTCAAACTTGAATTCTTTGTCACTGCTTAACGATGAGTCTTGGTAAAGAAAGGAATGGTACACAAAGGAAACCTGACCAACATTTTCTTATGCTGGTTCAAAAGCCCCCTATTTCTTTGATGAGTTTGTTTCCAAAGACCCAGTTCTGGTTTCTGAATTCATATTTGTTCAGCTTTATGTTGTCACCCATAAATTGCCTGAATCTTCATTGAATTTTGGAACCCTGAATATTTGGCATCAGCGATCAATTTAGGTG